CTTATAGCTAAAGATGGCCGTGGTTATCACAATCGACCTCACTGCAGGCGGAGCATCCCATACGTGCTCAGTCTCTGATGCAGCAGCCCCTCCAAGGTACCGCTACTGATTGTTCCCATGAGAGTTTGGTTATAATGTCTCCCATCTCGGCACTGAAGGCGGCATCTTCTTCTTCTTATAACCGGTTCCGTGTAGCGTTGGTAGCCATATCTATCCACATCGTTTTGTCTCGTGAACTTTCAATCAACTCTGGCACAGATGATCGTCCATGCCATGATGTCAAACAGTCCAACATCTTCTCTCTGTCTCACTCTGCATCTTTTTCTCCTCCAAACTTTACCATCGTCACGTTGTACTACAGTTTTCTCTCTCTCTCAGACATGACCAAAGAATGCAGGTATCTCCTTCTGGTGTGGGTAGACAGTTCTCTAATGTAAATCTCAAAACAAAAAAAAACTAAATAAGAATAGACACGGACATACAAACACAAAACTCACCTCGGTATAAAACTCCACGCTTGTTGCTTTTACCTGTCTACGTAGAGCAGTATATGATTCTCTATACACACAATTAATCGCAACACTGTTCGTATCAAATAAGATGACACCACACACAACAACAAGTCGTGGAACTCAGAAATCCAACTTGTAGCCTCACTGACCACCGACAGCCACCGACCACCTAGAAAGAATCTGTGAGTATGCGGTCGCTTCTCTCAGCACGTGAACTGAATGACTCTCTCAGCCGACGACTCGCCGAGTAAAAGTATTTGATCTGAGAATCCGAGGCACAGCACGCGAGGGAACACCGACGCGTGCCGTCGGATGCGGGTAGGTGGGGGGGGGGGGGGGGTGATACAAGTGAGCTACCTGGCTGGTGGTTTGTCTGGCTTCCGCCTCCCTCCCTTTCCCCTGGGTGTCTGTCGGTAAATTTCCCCGACTCGTCCCTTGCAATTTGTAATGGCTGGAAAAGGAAAATAGTTTTTAAAATAACAAAGTTATTTTAGTAATAATGGATAGCTGCATTTTAAAGGATAAATGCAGAGTATGAATGCGGAGACATTGGTGTGTTACGTGAAAGAGAGAAACAACGTGTGACAAAGAAAGAACTATGAAGAGAGTGAATGAGAGAGACGGATAGCGAGTGTGAGTAAGAAAAGCAGAGAGAAAAAAAATTAGAGAAGGTGAGTGAGAGAGATAGAGAGAAAGGCAGAGGGTGAGTAAGAGATTATATAGAGAGACCAAGAAAAAGAGAGATAGAAAGAAGCGGTAAAAAAACGAACAGGATATAGATGGGGACATATACGACAGAGAGGTAAAAACACAGAGGCGAAGACAGAAAGAGAGAGAGAGAGAGAGAGAGAGAGAGAGAGAGAGAGAGAGACTAAAACGGAGAGAGGAGAGATAGAGATGGGGCAGACGAGTCAGAGAGGTGGTGGAAAGGAAGAAAGAGAAATTGGAACGGAAAGGTATAGGAGGAATATAAAGAAGCAAGGTGAGAAGAGAGAGAGAGAGAGAGAGAGAGAGAGAGAGAGAGAGAGAGAGAGAGAGACAGAGAGAGACAGAGAGAAAGAGGCGAGAGAGAAACAGTGGAGGGAGGAGGGGGCACAACGAATGAACGAGCAAACTCTATTTTCAGGGCAACAACAACAAAGCACGCAGAGCAGTCTTGCATTCTGCCCTTTTGCCTTTCTCCTTTCATACTTTCTTCTATGTATACATCATTCTAATAGACAATAATAATAACAGTAATAGTAACAATCTCTTCTTCTTCTTCTTTTTCTTTTTCATTACCATCGTCTTCTTCTTCTTCTACTTCTTCTTCTTCTTCTTCTTCCTCTTCTTCATCTCTTTCTTCTTTTTCTTCTTCTTGTTCTTCTTCTTCTTCTTGTTCTTCTTCTTTTTCTTCTTTTTATTCTTCTTCTCCTCCTCCCCCTTCTTCTTCTTCTTCTTCTTCTTCTTCTTCTTCTTCTTCTTCTTCTTCTTCTTCTTCTTCTTCTTCTTCTTCTTCTTCTTCTTCTTCTTCTTCTTCTTCTTCTTCTTCTTCTTCTTCTTCTTCAATTTCACCAGCTGTAAACTTCGGCGGAAATGTTGGTCGTTCGTCCAAAACTTGGACCTTTGTCTTGAATTAGAACTTGAGTTTTTTTCTGCACATCTGTTTTTCAGATCTGGTTTATTTGTATGCAGATTGTTTGTTCCTGCTTCTAAGATAAAGATACTATCTGACTTTATAAGAAACGTCCTCAGTTAGTCGCTTTATGTCACTCACTTGTTTGAAGAAGAAGAAGAAGAAGAAGAAGAAAGGATGTGGGGAGGGGGGGGGGCGCCAGGAGGTCTATTCTTTACTCTCCAAAATAAAGCCACAGAACCCACAGAGGGAATAATATTATTGATAATAATAAAAATATTAGTTAAATCATAACAAAATTCCAGTATTAGTTGCAATCACTGGATTTTGTTGTGATTAGGCCTACATTTTAAACAGTAATAATTGTTTCTATGGAATTAGGAACAAATCTAGGTGTGTGTGTGTGTGTGTGTGTGTGCGTGTGTGTGTGTGTGTGAGACAGAGAGAGAGGAAGATTAGGGGCCCCCCAAAAAAAGAGTGGGAGATATACATTAATGGATAATGTAAAAAATTCAGTTCTTAGCTTTAAATATGTTTTGGATATACGTTGCCAGCGCATCAATATATCTTTGCCAACTTTCATACAGTTGCTAGAAACTTTCATGAAACCCATTCTTTCCCACCTCTTTCGTCGTACTGGCGATAACGTCCTCATCATCATCTCTGAATCGCTGTACTTGCAACAGGAGGACGTCATCATTTGTTAGGATATTGCGCAAAGTTAGAATGGACCGAAATCAACCAGTTCTAGCAACTTGACATCCCCTTTCTAGAACTATCACTTGTTTGTTGGCAGTTTGATATTGTACATGCAAATGGGTAACCTTGTTATTTAAATAGTATTTGATGTAATCGTTGAACGTGTCATATCAAAGAGAGACATCCTTGACGCACTCGCTTTCTGGAAGTTCTGGAAGACTTCTAGAGGGTCAACCGTCAATTAAGTTAGTATATTTAGTTGTAGAGATATCTGATGCAATCGATATGCAATTAGAAAATCCCACTTGAGAATCCACATAGTAAACAAGTTTTAGCATGCAAGAATCTTTCAGAAGCTATAGTGAGTTTTAAAAAAAAAACCTACCACGCAATCCAGCATCTCAGTCTAAATAGTCGGTAAGGCACCACTTTGGCAACCTTCAGTCATCGAGACTTGGAATAGGAGAGCTAGTAATATTGAACCTCAAAGACAAGAATCTTCATTCTTCACTCTACGAGACTTAGAAGAAGAGGGACTAGTAATATTGACCCTCGCAGACGAGAACCTTTAGTTTTCGATACCTAAAAGCAGAGGAACAAGTCACATGGAGCCCCAAAGACAGACACAAGAAAAGAGACATGAAACGTGACATCAAACTACAGAGACAACAAATAAATTACATGGATCAATGTTCAGCAGAGACACACATTTGGTAGAAACATTAACATGTTAGAGTTGACGATCGAGTCGTTAGTACCAGACAGCACTAGAAGCCAGGTTGCAGTTACAGACACTAGAACCAGTTAACAAAGAGATAAAGAACACAACGCGTCTTCAAGATTATGTAACCATAGAGCGAAAACAGCGGCTATTCGGGTATCACTGTTGTTACTGTGGCATTACTGAGGTAACACAATAAAGGCAGTACAGAAAAGAAGTTTTTTAAAGACATTTGGTTATACAAGCATCAGAGTGACTTGATAAGAAGCATGTAGCAAGCACGAGAGACCATTATCATCACCACTATCAATACGACCATCTTTCTCGTCTAAATTCTTCAGTTGACTACTTTTGTAGCAAACAAGTGGCGAACCTGGCTGTGACATCAACATACACAAAGAAGAGAGCTGTGCTACATACTTTCAGTGCCTATTTTAGTTCTTCTTCTACTGCTGCTTTATTTTGTCCTCATCCACCTCTTTCTTCTTCTTCTTCTTCTTCTTCTTCTTCTTCTTCTTCTTCTTCTTCTTCTTCTTCTTCTTCTTCTTCTTCTTCTTTTTCTTCTTCTTCTTCTTTTTCTTCTTCTTCTTCTTCTTCTTCTTCTTCTTCTTCTTCTTCTTCTTCTTCTTCTTCTTCTTCTTCTTCTTCTTCTTCTTCTTCTTCTTCTTCTCCTCCCTTTCTTCTTTTTCGTCTTTTTCTTCCCCTCCTCCTCCTTCTTCTTCTTTCTATGCATCCATGTATCTGTCTTTCTTTCTTTCTGTCATTCTCTCTTCATTACAATCTTTCTTTTGTTTAACTTCTTCTTCTTCTTCTTCTTCTTCTTCTTCTTCTTCTTCTTCTTCTTCTTCTTCTTCTTCTTCTTCTTCTTCTTCTTCTTCTTCTTCTTCTTCTTCTTCTTCTTCTTCTTCTTCTTCTTCTTCTTCTCTTCTTCATCTTCTTCTTCTTCTTCTTCTCATTCTTCTTCTTCTTCTTCTTCTTCTTCTTCTTCTTCTTCTTCTTCTTCTTCTTCTCCTTCTTCTTCTTCTTCTTCTTCTTCTTCTTCTTCTTCTTCTTCTTCTTCTTCTTCTTCTTCTTCTTCTCTCTTATTCTTCTTTTCTTTTTCTTCTTCTTCTTCTTCTTCTTCTTCTTCTTCTTCTTCTTCTTCTTCTTCTGCTCCTCCTCCTCCTCATCTTCTTCTTCCCCCTCTTTCTCCTTCTTCTTTCGTTGATATTTCTGTGAAGGTAATTGCTCTTTGTGCCATGTTTGTGCCTTTCGACCGATTCTTCTGACTTCTGGCATCTATCGACACGGCTGCCTTCCTGACAAATACTTATTCTGTTTTTATTTTATTTGAAACACTCCTTTTTATAGTTCTCTGTTATTTAACCTTTGACCTCAGACTCCCAACTGACCATGTGTTTATCATCAATCATTCTAGAATTTTCTTGCCCTTGACACTGCATGCATCTGAAACGGGGCAATTGTTTATAACTAGTAATGAATGCACCGGGTAGATTTACTTTTCGGACCGCACAGAGTAAGAAGAACACGCACACCCCCTCCCAGCTGGTAGAGCTTCCTAAACAATGTTTCAGTGGTCGGTTAAAGAAAGGTTTCTTTACAGCTGAGGGGACTGAAACCACGGGTGGTGGGGGGGGGGGGGGGTTTGGGGGGGGGGAGAATAAATCCATTGTTCCTCTAACTTGAGTGTAATAACAGAAGACTAATTAGGGTTTTTTCCCTTTGAAGTTGGCCTCCACCTGCCTAAGAAGCGAGGAATCAGCAGTCTCCATGTAAATAAGTCGGAACTGTAAAACGAATGTGCATGCAAACTCAAGATCTGAGCAAGACTACATTTCAGGAGTGGACGAATAACCAGAACTCTCCGCCAAAGTTTATAGCCGATGAAAGGGAAGAAGAATTTAATGGGAGACAACAGAGCTCTGCTATTTGATTTTTCATCTAGACATATTTATTTTTAAAGCTCTGGATGCCAGGGTTAACATATAGGTAGCAACCCAGAGAGGACAAACTGATCAATCGATATATTGTAGTGACTGTTTGCCTGTGTGGATTCCGAGGACCCATTGTGAGAAAAACGAGAATACACTCACTGCCTCCCCAGCAAGCATGTCGTAAAAGTCGACTAATTTAGTGTTTCCTTCGAAGTCAGAGTGCATCTGCCTGAGAGGCAAGGAACCAACATTCTGCATACAATTAAGTCAGATCTGTTAAACGGATGTGCACGCAACACTCAGGCTCTGGAATAGGACTAAAGTCCAGAGATCGACAAAGAAACAAAACTTTCCGCCGGATTTACAGCCGGGGAACGCAAAAAAAAAAAAAAAAGATAATACTGAGTTTTGAAGGGGGAATTGTGTTTGTGGGACCTCTCTATGGGTGATCCTCATCCGCATGGTGGCACTTTGTGTCACCAGGTGATGTCCTGGTGGGGTACAACAAGAGAGAGAGAGAGACACAGAGAGAGAGAGATAGAGAGAGAGAGAGAGAGAGAGAGAGAGAGAGAGAGAGAGAGAGAAGGAGAAAGTTGCGCGAGGTGGCAAAAGATAGAACTGGATGGCCAGGGTTAGTTCGCGGGTAGTGCTCTGATGGGAGGTTAAGCGAGGCAGCTTCAGCAGTACTAGTAGCAGAACTTGGAGGGGTTGGGGGACGAAGAGGAAGAGGAGGATGAGAAGGAAGAGGAAAACGTATACAAGAAATTCTATATTAAAAAGGTCAAGCATTGGGCACACAGGCCTGACTTACGTTATGTGCTGCTGACCTCACCCTGTATACATTATTCAATTCCTGCATCTTTTAATAGATAATAATACAGATCATCGTTAATATCTAACTGTAAGAAACAGAGTCTTAGAATCCCATAGACCAAGAAAAAGATAAAAAAAACGCAGATGTCCGGCATGATCTAAACATTGAAGAGAATTGGCTCATAAACAGCATCCTGCTCCAAAAGCAAAGGTATTTCGGCCATGTTAAACGGCGTGGTCTCCTTGAGAAAACGGTGATGGAATGTACAGTTTCGGGAAAGTGACGCAGAGGCAGACCTTCGCGAACGTGGACACAAGATATTGAGGATGTCTTTGCTGTGAAAGCACATAGGGCTGGAGAATTGGCTGGGGAAAGGGAGATTGTCGGTAGTTCCCTGGCGAGAGCGATGTTCTGTAAAGGACATGCACATTGATGAAATGAAGCAGAAGAAAAAGACGATGAAATAGAGTAAGTAGGAGGACGAGGGGAAGGAAGAGATAATAGAGGAATGCTAAGCAGGCACTTTCACCAATAACTATGCTGGTTTAACTTGTATCCTATAATAATACCAAGTCATTTATATTTTTTAAAAGTAAAGGACCTTTTTCCACACCTTCAGACGTATTAGGTATATAGGGCTAGACCTATATTTTATAGACCAAACGGCATTTGGTGGATGATGTGGTCAGTTTCACCCCGGCCGCCTTGACTTCCCAAGATTGTACCTGATACCCACATAAGGCTGGGTCGACCTGGGAGCCAAGGTCATTTTTGGAAAAAAGTCTGACCCCTGTCAGGACCCGAACCCATGACCTTTCGATAAGCAGGCAAATTTCTAGCCGCTACACCACGGCGGCTCCCTAAGTTATTTTAATGAGTAACCTAAAACCACAAGGACACACACAAGAGAGCGCGCACGCACACAAACACATAAACATCCTACACAACCAACCCCAACAGCCCCTGGCTGTTGTGTGGTTTCTCTAGGCAATTTACATCCAGTAGTTTGCCATACACACACACACTCACACATAAACACGTACATCAGTGAAACTAGGCGGGAAGACACTATATGCCAGATATTTCCGTTAGTTACTCCCCAAACAGACCAGTGACAGATTAGCGGAATCTGGTACATACAAGTTAATATTCAGGTCAACAAATGGACGACTCCGGAAATCCTCTTGTCTCTAGGAGGAGTCTGCGTGGCTCATCCCATAACTGAAAAAATATTAATTATTATGGAACATGTCAGAATATGGATAATGAGACATCGGAGTTGAAGAGCGAAACTGGACACTGTCAGACAGACAGCGGGGGATTTGAGAATAATGGATTATTGAAAATACAACAGTTCCTCTGTTGCTGTTTGACCTGGATAAATCTGACACCTCATAAACGGCAGACCCGTTCCAACATCTGCATCTATCGGCAGGACGTGGTCAATAATAGAACTCCTGACCTCTTCCTCCCACCCTACCCGATTTACTTTCCAGAATCTTCTATGTCCCCCCTACCCTTGTCTGTTAATTCCCTCTACCCTTTTACAGTGGCTTATCAGTAGGAAATTAAGCGAAATTGTTCCGCGCCGAAGATTTCCAGGAATACGTCGAAACTTGAGTCCAGAAGTTTATTAACTTATAATTATATTCCGATTTGGCTTCACTAATTATAGCCAACGGTCGAATGCTTTCACGTGCCAGGTAAGACAATCCGAGACCAGACAGGCCCCAGGTACAAAAAACGAACTAGGCGCACGGTACAGTACTCGCTTTACTTACCCGGTAAAATTGGCTATAGAAAGAAAATGAGATCGTAGAAATGATCCGTATGTTTTCCCCCCATGCTGAACAGAAAAAAGGGTGGGAGGTGGTATTGGGAGGCATAAATAGCTATGCACCTTAATTCGACCGAGAGATTCAAACCAGCAGGGTGCCGCCTTTCGCCGCGCACGATCATTCTTAGCGATAAACTTGAGAAAATGAATGAATGGTGGCCGGATCCATAGAGTTTTGTATTCGCGGTAAGAAAAGGAGAACATTTAATGACAGTAATTTCAGGTCGTCTGCTCCTGATCTATGGCGATTGGCTAGTTTTGAGTTTCCACCTATACGAAGTGAATATCCCTGGACGCACGTGCCCCTAATCAAAATCCAGAGGTCAGCTGTAGCCATCCGCTTTCATTCCTGTACTCATCTCTACACAGATAGCCACTAAACATTAATTTATCAATCTCTTCTCCCCTGCGTACTTAAGCCTTCAAAACAAAACCGTCTCGTATGTCAGGGTAGAACACAGTTGCTTTGTTTCTGATCTGACCTATTAATCCCCACCCTATTGTACCTAGGGAAGATGTTTGAGAATTTGCGTCCCAAACCAGGGGTCCCTACCCAGCGACCAGTAGCGTCGTGTAGCGAAAGGGGCACATCCTTTCACCGCCAAACATGGATGAAAGCGATGGTAAACGGGCGCCATTATACGAGAAGATACTCAAAAACAGTATTGTCTATCGGGATGGCCACCGTTGTTTTGTTTCCTGAGAGGACAGTTTCGCCCCAGGTGAACTGACGAGTGCTCGCTGGAGCAGATGTCAAACACGATTTTCCCACTTCTTTTCCGAACTTTCTCTTTTGAATTAGTCAAGTAATTTTCTATCTGTTCCGTTGTTTGGTAAATATTCTGAAGGAGCGGGAAGTGAAAAAAAAAAATACAATTCGGGTTGAATGTCTGTAGGTCTGAGTAGTTGGTTATTAGTTATCTGATGGGCAAGTTTGATGTTTTGTTTGTTGATTAGTTGGTTGATTGGCTGGATGAAGGATTCTCTGGTATTTTTGGTATTGAGTTAGTTGGCAGGCTGGTTAGACGGCTGGTTCATTTCCCAATGGAATGGCCTCCACCAAATCACACTAAGTGGTCTTAGCCTTTGCTATCTCATGCAGCTTACTATCTTTTCAATGTCACTCTCTAGCTTCCTTCTCCTTTTTGTTTTTAAAAATCCGTCTTTGCCATGGAAGAGACTCGGGTCCCACTACCTCATACTCCCAAAGTTTGCTCTTTGCCATGGAAGAGACTCGGGTCCCACCACCTCATACTCCCAAAGTTTGCTCTTTGCCATGGAAGAGACTCGGGTCCCACCACCTCATACTCCCAACGTTTGCTCTTTGCCATGGAAGAGACTCGGGTCCCAATACCTCATACTCCCAAAGTTTGCTCTTTGCCATGGAAGAGACTCGGGTCCACCACCTCATACCTCCCAAAGTTTGCTCTTTGCCATGGAAGAGACTCGGGTCCCACCACCTCATACTCCCAACGTTTGCTCTTTGCCATGGAAGAGACTCGGGTCCCACCACCCCAATCCATACTCCCAAAGTTTGCTCTTTGCCATGGAAGAGACTCGGGTCCCACCACCTCATACTCCCAACGTTTGCTCTTTGCCATGGAAGAGACTCGGGTCCCACCACCTCATACTCCCAACGTTTGCTCTTTGCCATGGAAGAGACTCGGGTCCCACCACCTCATACTCCCAAAGTTTGCTCTTTGCCATGGAAGAGACGCGGGTCCCACCACCTCATACTCCCAACGTTTGCTCTTTGCCATGGAAGAGACTCGGGTCCCACCACCTCATACTCCCAACGTTTGCTCTTTGCCATGGAAGAGACTCGGTCCCACCACCTCATACTCCCCAAAGTTTGCTCTTTGCCATGGAAGAGACTCGGGTCCCACCACCTCATACTCCCAAAGTTTGCTCTTTGCCATGGAAGAGACTCGGGTCCCACCACCTCATACTCCCAAAGTTTGCTCTTTGCCATGGAAGAGACTCGGGTCCCACCACCTCATACTCCCAACGTTTGCTCTTTGCCATGGAAGAGACTCGGGTCCCACCACCTCATACTCCCAAAGTTTGCTCTTTGCCATGGAAGAG